GAGAAAAGGTGCTGGTGGCTTTGCCAAATCTGCTGTTAGAGCCTTCCCCCAAACAGTGGGAGAGTTCTTAAACCTTTGTGACAATTGAGTCCAAGTGATTTGGTCTTTTTTCAGGATTTTCCCAGTTGAGAGGGCTTATGGGAGCAACTGGCAAGCAGAGAAAGGCATCTTTTAAATCTAGATATATAAATAGGCATAGCCATGAGCAGAAGGTTTGGAGAGGCTGCTGTATGGCTGAATGCAGGTGGCATCTGGAGGTAACAGTGGAAAAAGGGTGTACAGGTTGGGAACTGCAGAATGCAAGGTGATGGGTGCATTGTTGAGGGCACGGAGACCTTGCCCAAGGTGGTTAACAGTCTATCAGGTTGACGTGTGGCTAGATGCCTGTTTGTGCTTCCTGTGACATCTGACAGCAGTGGGGATCATGGTGAGGTGGCATGGTAGATGACCAGGCCCAGAGGAGGGAAGTCTTGGCTCATACTTCTGGGAGAAGAATTTTCAGAACTTCAGGACTGTGGTTATCTGTCTCAGGCTGATGCAGGCGATATCTTTCTCTCAGGGAGGGTTAGACGAGTGAGAAGCTGACTGGCTTGGTGCAAAAGAGATGGTCACTTTTAACTTGAAGTGAAAGTCTCTTCCCAGAGCCAGTTTGCGGACTGGTTTAGACAGGAATTTATGTCAATGCAGACTGCAAGTTTGTGCCTGGCAGAAGGGGTGAGAGGCAAGAGTCCACTTGTCCCAGTGATGGTACTATTGGCTCCCGGAGATCCAGCTGAAGAAGGGACCCTGGTCTGGCCTACGCTGAACCTGTCAGACAATGGAGGTATTGTTATCTGATCCAGGTTGAAGCTTTTGAAAGTTCTTATCTTTTAATCTGAATGGGCATTGTTTTTTCTTTTAGTGTCCATAGTCCTTATAGCTTGTAGCCAGAGGGTATGGTGCTCTACAAGACTGGATTTCCATATGAACATCAGGTGATGTTTTTATCAGGTTTCTGGGTGACAGTGGTTGATGGGCTTTTTGCTCCCTTTTTGATATCTTTGAGAAGTGCTCAACTGGGTTGTTTCTCTGTGAGGTGACCTTTGGAAAGGCCATGGCAACTCATTCATCAGGGCTGACTGTCCGATTTTATCTCAGTCAAAAGGTGGAACTCAGAAGAAATTGCTGGCAGTCATCTCAGGTGGGCATTAGATGATGCCATCTGACCAGGATAGGTGTAGCCAGGAAGCAGCAGGTTTGGGGGTGGGAGGGCTTGTATGGCTGAATGCAGGTGATGGCCAGCTGGAGCCAGTTCAGTTGGCCAGGAGAAGTGTCAGGAGCAGGGAGTGAAGCCATAGGTATTGGCAGCAACTGCAGCTGTTTTTCCAGGGTGCAAAGATGTTTGTGATAATTTTCTATACTTTTAAAATTGCTGTATATGTAATTTGTAAAAATCATTTTTAAAGTGGCAGCCATAACTATAATTTTATGATCACCATGGATACACAAAATGAGGAAAGGATACCTTATTACTTTCTAAAATATATTACTATTGTTACGGCAGAAATTCCCGTTTGTCCCAAACATTCCACAAGAGACACCAATGGCCAGTGAGAACAAATCAGAGTTTAATTTGAGGCTAGCCACCCTCACTTCCTTTGCCAATCTGGAAGCGGGGCCCATGGCTAACTTTGCTTCCCCTTATATACAGTTTGGTTTCCATTGACAACAGATTGGGGTGTTACATTCTCTGACCCCAGTGGACATATGGTGCTTCTCTCATCCTGTTGGACCCCAGGTCAGTTGCAGGTCGCATGTCAAACAGTGATAGATGTTTCCCCCCATTATCTCCTTTTTTACAACCTATGCGTTCCTTTAGGGTTACAATGTTTACCTAGGGCCAGGAGATGGCACTGTCCAGGCAGGGTCACGGAAGGTCACCTAGGCCTAGGCGCCCCCTTATCTTGGGGAGACATTCCTGGGCAGTGTTGATCTGGGGAATTAGCTCTTGCACTGTCCTGGGAGGCTTCCCGGGGCACCATGCAGGCTTTTACCAAACTATTTTATCTAAAATAGTGTGCTAAGATTCATTGCCCCCTACACTATTATTCTACATAAATTTGAATAGAAATTTCATTGAGAAAATCTGTGAATTTGATTATGAATTAAAGAATGTCAATCTTTGTGTGGCGGGATGCTCTGTATTCAGGGAGAAAGACAAGGGGATCCGATTGCTTGAGCCCTGGAGCTCCTGAGGGGCCTGGGCAACAGAGTGGGGTGCTGTCTCAAAAAGCAAACAAACAGCAGGGAAAGAGCTTTTGCAAACAGGAAGAGGATCAAAAGGTGGAGGCAGGTTGCGGAGAGAACTAGACTGAAATATGAGAGGATAAAATAGACTGCAGTGCCCAGGGCAGAGGTCAGCATTACCAAGGACATAAGAGAGAGGAAGAACTGGGATGATCTAGGAACCTCAGCTATGTCATGTACATGTTGGAACTAAATAAATGAATGTAATCATTAAGTATCACAAACATGTACTAATAAAAAAGCAAACAAAAACCAAAGTAACATAACAACAACAACAACACACACACACACACAGGTAAATGATGTTCAACATGAAATATACTTCTCCACCCTACAGTGCCTAAGTTTTCAGTACACAGAAAGAGAAAGTGAAAAAAACTGAATCAAATCTACTTGCTTTTGGCAGTAGGAGCTGTGCCACCAGAGGTCAGTATATGAATGCCCTCTTGCTCTCAAAATTTGTTTTATTCTGTTTTTGTTTTCTAGTAGTTTGAAGGGTTACGTCAGAAATGTGGACTAGCATTTATACCTGATTGGAGTGCTTTCACTAGACTGAAATATGAGAGAATAAAATAGAATGCAGTGCCCAGGGCAGAGGTCAGCATTACCAAGGACATAAGAGAGAGGAAGAACTGGGATGATCTAGGAACCTCAGTGACTATTCTGTGTTTTCATTTGGAATGTGAATTTGGAATTTTACAAAGAATACAGGAAGAATCTGAGGACAGATTTCCACAGAAAAGCTCAATTAGTCCTTTTTGGGTTTCTTTATAGGTAAACTTTTGGAATTTGGAAGTTTGACATCAACCCCTTCACCAGATGCAATTTCAGCATAAACTGGAATAAAATCATTTATTGAATGCAAAAAAAAGTTTTTGTTTTGTACAACCTTATACTATTATCAGTTTGGATGTTTTTGTTGATTTAACACCCTTTTGGGTAAGGTTTTCTCTCATTTAACTCTAAAATAAGAGTTACAACTTGCTTCAAACTATGTACATGCCTTTATGGTGAAAACATGGGTAAATTTTGGAATTAAGAAGGTTAATGATTATCCCTCCTAAGAACTTATAATAAAATTAAGCTGAGAGTTGCCTTGTGAAGTTATGCCTTTGCTGCTTCTACTAGTACTCCCACACACAACTGGAGAGATTTAAGACCTGGGAGCCCTGTCAATCTCAACTTTCTGAGCAAGGGAGATAAGATTTTTTGAGTTTTCCCTCAGGGGAGGTAAGGAATGCTCAGCATATTTCAAACTAGTATCACATTAGAATCACCAAAGTAATCAAAACACAGAATTCATGATATTTGCTTTCATATAAACCCACAGATTTAATCACAGATTATTTTGCTAAATTGGGAAATGTCTAATATTTGTCTTTGAATACTTCCCTAAATGTTATATTAAGCTTTATCTTTTACCAGATATCTTCATTTGTCAATTTAGTAACAAAAAAGGCTAAACAAATGCTTAGGGAAGCAAAGGCTTCCCAACCGAGGTATCACAGCACATTTAAAACTGACCCATCTAGAAGCCATACTCCAGAGGCAGTAGCTACCTACTGCTGAGGAATCCTGTACCTGAACTATTGGGAGCACAGAACATCCATTTCAAAAGGAGGAACTTGTCACCATGATGCTTCCCAGGCTGCTGTAGGTATTCATGGTCTCCATCTCCTTAGGTACAAAAGACTACAATCCAGATCATTGATTGCTTCTCAGCTGTCAGAGGAGCCATCTCAAATACTTAGAAGCTCTTTGCTATACCACTTGTCAATGTGTTATATAAACCTGTAGCAAGAAATGGAATTGTTTTAGAGAATTTGTCTGTATGCTCTTTTTTATTTGTCTATTTGCCTTTTAGCTACTTTATATCAATTCATCCACTAAATAATTGAAGCAAATGGGAGCTTGCGATATCCATTACACATGATCACATAACAGCATACAAAAACTCAGCTTCCATTTCTGTAGTGGCCATATGACCTTAAGTGATATGGAGCAATAGAGTAGAGAATGTGATACAGTGGCAATTTGAGCATTCATGACATAGTAAGTATATTTTGTGCAGTTTTTTCCATAGGAATGAATGCCCCAGCCTCTCATAAGCTACTAAATAAAACTCCAAGTCAATTTTTAAAGAAATAATTTTACAAAACATATTCAACAACTTCTGAAAGAAAGATTTTACTTTTACCATTTAACTTTGAAGTACTTCTATTAACTGTAAAATTTAAATAGGTCATAGTACTGAGTATACTAGAAGGAAGAGAGCCTACAATTGTCCTGGATATGATTTGTCTTTCACAGAGTCAAAGACTTATATGGAAAAGTATAAATATTTGCTAAATTTGTGACCAGTAAATAGATTAGAAGAAGAGTCCAAGATCATCATCAATTTGGCTCTAACTGGGTCCCCCAAAATACTTTCCTGAGGAATATAAGTGTGCTTCAGTGAGCTCAATCTGCCGCTCCCCTCAGCTCCAAACCTCAATTTTAACTGCCACTCTCACACCCTTCTGAGGGGCTGCCTGACCTATCAGAGAAAGACACAGAAACCGAATAATGGTTTGGGGTGAGCCACACTTGCTCGCCTCTGTGCACAGATCTCATGGTCTGTAAGCCTAAGAACCCCCGTTTCCTGTTTGGAGGAGTAACATAAGAACCCCAGAAGTATTTAAACACAAGGCACTCATGGGCCCTAAACTCTAAGCCTGAGGCAGAACAAAATACATTGTGCGCAAGGATACAAGCCACATGCTGCTCTCCAGCCTGCTATGGGCGTCTGTGGCCTTCATCTACTCTGGTATGGATGGTACAAACATGGTCAAGCATGTTAAGGATGAAAAGATTGTACATGGTGCTTCATGTGGGGAAGAGAAAGAAAAGGGGAGGGGAGAAAAGAAAGCAAACTGTGGCTTCAGTTTTGCTTCTGTTTGGGTCCTAGATTATTCTCTTTTGATATTTTATTCAGTTTTCTGTTTATTTCTATAGGACCCAGTGTCGCCCAGAAAGTGACGCAAGTCCAGCCAGCCACATCTGGGAGAGAAGGGGAAGCAGTCACTCTTGATTGCGAATATGAACAACAGTGGAGTACAAACTATCTTTTGTGGTACAAACAACCTCCCAGCGGAGAGATGATGTTCCTTGTTTTGACTGCTTCTGGTCAGACTAAAAAGACTGGTCGCTATTCCGTCAAATTCCCAAAAGCTAACTCTATGAACTTAGTCATTTCTGGTTTACAGATGGAAGATTCAGCAAAGTATTTCTGTGCTATTGAAGAACCACAGTGCTTGAAGTGACAGTAAAAGCCGAACAAAAACTCAGGCTCTCCACACGAGATAGGCTCTGCCGCAGGAGCCCAGCTGAGACTTGCACCTGTAGTTCCCAGACCAGAAAAGAGCTCTGTGGTTGCTTAATCTGTGATCTGGATTAGAAGATTAAGTTCTAAATAAAATTTTTTTCTGTTTCATTTGGAAACTGACGTCAGGCACTTTTTTTGGTGTTGTGAATTTTTGAGTAGATAGATGATAGAGATTGTATATAAAGTTGTCTAACATTGAAAACTAGCCCAATAATAATTTGAGGTATTAATGTCACTTTAAGATGTTCACTATGCACATCTAGATGTAGTTATAGGGAATAACAGTGCAAATCAATTTCTTGACTATTTACGCTTTGTGTCAGGTGCAATCGCAGAGAGAGAAGCAACTGGAGTAATGTAACAAGGGGGAGTAATGATAAGGATTCGACCTTACCCATTTGCTTGATCTAGAGAGGGGCCTTCTGCAAAGCCAAGGCCCTTGGATCTGGCATTGAGCCTGAATTAATGGAAGTTCAACTAGACTCTCACTGGGGAGAGAGACTTGGATGAGGACCCTGACAACAACGAATCTACAAGGACAAGCAAAACCTTGTGTTTCTCACCTCAACTCCATGGAACTTACTTGCTGCGTGACCTTCACGAGAATCGGCGTCATTTGCCATCGTGCTGTATACATACTCGTCCCAAGAGAGCAGGAAACTGAAGGAAATGGGGACGGTGACGGAACTGTGTCAGCCATCAGCTGAGCTGGCAGACCATCAGCAACATGCGGGAGCTGCCCATGGCCTGGAGCCCGGAACCTACAGAGCTTAGAAGAAACAGCTGCTGCATCCTATCAGCCTTCAACCCGTTGTGCCATTCTGTGGCCAGTGCTAAGCCACAGGGAAGGAAATCATGTGAAATGTATTTCCAGAGAGTTAAGTTGAGACAGTTCAAAGGTATTTTATATTCAAAAATAAAACCTAGGATAGTCATGCTCCCTGCTAATACGACACAACTACTCCTTACTCTAGCAAAGATATGCTAACAGCCTCCCCCAAGGAACATAAAATAAATCCTCATATTGTCTCTGGGTGATGTTCAGGCCTTTCTCTAGCTTAGACACAAGCTCCCACTGATTTCTTGTAACTTAAATACTGACATACGAGATTAACCTTCATGAGCACATCGTATGCCACTACACGCAGGCAAATGGGAAGAGAGTAAACCATATTTATTCTATATGTAAATATATTTATATCAAGATGTAGTCTTTGTTTCCACAAAAGGCCACATGACTGCAGCTCACTTCTTATAACTACCTGTTTCATAATCTCTTCGCTGATAGCAAGCGCCTCCCTTCATGGGTGCACTAGAGTTTCTATGCAACAAGCTCCTCAGTCAGAAGAATGCGATACAGACACCACCGTAAAGTTAGATAAGTCTTTCACTTTCTTTTGGCAGGAGAGCTATAGGCAGGCAGATGAGTGCAAACTCATACTTGAACACATTTGCACAAAAAACAATGATATCTTGTAACACCCAGGTAAAGCTCTGTGATCTTATTCCAGATAAACACCGCTCTGAGACATATTTGAAATAACTCATAATTTGTCTTTAAAAGCAATAGAAGTCAACAAGGAAAAATATTTTTGAAAATACTTAAGTAAACCTGAATAAAATTTTCAAGCTTTCTGTGAACATGAAGCATATTTTAACCACTGATCAGCCCAATAATTTAAATATAGAATGACTAAGAATTGCATATTTTATTAACTTTTCTAAGATAATATTATAGGAAATATAAAATGACAGTTTTAGTCAATAATGTTTCATGTATAGTATATCCTGAAACATTCACCACACATCAAAACATTACAATCTGGACCATAGTATCTAGTCTCTTTCCTTTTGCATTTTCTTTCTTTGCACAAAATCCTTTACGCTGTCATGTTAGTCTTTCCTTTTTCTGTGGGTGGTATAATTTCAATAAAATATTTATTCACTAAACATAAAGGTGAAGACACCAGTAGTGGACATCCTGGTTGGCATTCCTTTGTCTTATATATTTCAATTATTTGCTCTATTACACCTAATCTGAATTATACATGAATTTTTTAACCCCCTTGTTTTGAATAGATAATAAGTTCCATATTGTTTTGTCCAGAAAGTGCATAAATATTTTACAGTAACATTTTCCTTACTTTTTGATTACAAGGTAGCTTGTTAAGTGTTGGTCAGTTCTGTCGACACCACCCACAGAATTATTATAATCATGGGCCATGATGAAAAATTTTTCAAGTTTCAGTTCTTTCAAATTCTACCATTTCTATATTACGAGCAGCTGCCTATAAGGAGATGCCCTTTTTGCCTTTCCATTTCATAACACAGACTTTTCCTCTCTGATACGCTAACATTTTCCCTTCTTCAGTCTTTTCTTTTGCAGATCTTTTGGCCCTTCCTTCCTGTTCAGACTCCGTGTTCCAAAAGTGTCCATTTTATATTGTAAAAGAATATCACTGAGCTGTGGGGAAATATAAACAATATATCTAATGTACTTATAGTAAAAGTTTTTATAGAGTATAGCACAAAATTATTGGCTATTTTTCAAAAATAAAATAAACACAAATTAGTAGAAAATAACCATCGACTATTAGATTTCACTAGAAATAAATATTAAGGGCAACTACAACATTCTAAATAAGAAATATGCAAAAATATTCAATATAAAACAAATAATCAGACGTAGGAGTGTATCTTGTGCAATCAGCAATTGGTTGATTGAAATGACACCTGCCTGTGTGACCATCAGGAGAGTCACTAAGTAAACAAGCACACTACCCAAGTGACAAGTGACCCTGGGGTAAACTGTTCATGGTTAAATTGTTCTTGTTCAAAGTCATCCTTAGGCCGGGCACACTGACACATATCTGTAGTCTCAGGTACTTGGGGTTAGGCCTGAAGAACTGTGACTTCAAGATCAACCCAGGGAACTTAGACACTGTCTTACATAGACAGATAGAAAGATAGAGAGAGGGGGAGGGAGAGGGAGAGAGGAGAGAAAACATTTAAGGTGTGGAAAGTGCACTTTGGCATGCTAAAATAGGAGATACAAGTTCAAGCTGAGAATATAATCTGCCTCCAAAATAAAAATAATAAAAGGGTTAGAATGTGTGTTTCTTTTGCTCAATAATTTTTTTCTTTTTATTACTACATGTTTGGAGTATATAATCATTATACTCCACATGGGGAGTTGGTGCATGTAGATAACAGATCTTAATTATCTTCTCACCTCCTCCCCCTTCCTCCCCCTCCCCCATCTCTCATCCCCCTTCTCTTTTGCAAAAGATCAATCTCTCTTTTTCTATTACCCATCTTTTATTTGATTCTTTATGTTTTGGGCTTCTCAAGAAAGAAAAGCCACCTGATGTTTAGTTTACGTTTCTCATTTATTTCGCTTAACATTCTGGTGTCAGGGTGCACTATTTGCATACAAATGACTTCACTGTGTTCTTATTTAGGTTTCACTGTGCTGCCCAGGGTGACCTTGGACTGCTGCACTCAAGAGAGTTTTCCTAACTCAGCCTCCCAAGTAGCTGCGAGTACAGGATCCACCAGGACACAGAGTTTTGCAGTACATATTTCTGAAACATCACTTGAAAAATGACTGGAATATCAAAAATTCACAAAATCAAAAGAAGAGAAAAACTATAATTCAAAATGACAAAACTCATCCAATTTAGAAATATGCTCCTCAATAGCAAAGCAGCATATAAAAGAAGCACTTGATATCACTACTCAATAGGAAAATGAAAAAAACCAAACCATATTGGGTGCTCCATTTGTTTTCCTTAAGCGTCCCAGCAAAATCATGCAGTCAGGAGACCATGACGCCAAGTGTACAGGGAAGAATAATGACTACCACCTGAGATCCAGCTAAAATATTGTGGCTTTTATGCTGGCTTCCTTGCTGCCCTCCAGTGTTCCTGGGTGAAATTGCGGCGAAGCTTATTCGCAGCAGAAACTGCACTGCTGAACCAAGATCAGCGAATATCCTGTTGCAGTCATCCCATGGAAGAAGGCTCAGGACGAGCTGGTTGTTGATCTATTACCTTGCCAGATGTGAAGGTGGCAGACCTCAGAATGAAAGTACAATACATGGGGTGTTTTCGCTGCAGGGTGTTCATGCAACAAAACTTCACCTTGTTACACAAGTTGGGAGAGTGTTCTCTGCTATTTACTGTCCTGCCTTTTACTGCATTGTGAGAGTGAGAGCGAGAGTCACTGATGGTGAAAAATAAACCACTATAGGGAATATTGCTTAACAAACTCTTTCCATGGTGTACTGTGGGTCCCACTCTTTCGGAACAGCATCACCGTACACTAATGCATTATGAACAGTAAGACACGTGGTAGAACACTGCTACCTGGGATAATTCAGAATGTCTGCTGTATTGTACATGTTACAAGACTCACCTCTGAAGAATACTGAGAGCTCCACTTTATGGGTAGTCTCCAGACAATTTCAGGTCCTGCTTCCTAAATAAATTTTTCCATTTTCATTCATTCTGTTTGAATCCATCAGAGTCACCACCCCATCTCTAAGTTATTGCCTAAGTAAAGGAATTTTTCTCTACGCTTTCCTCAATTCTCCCTCCTCATCTGCTCTTAAACCCGCCTCTGTTAGCATCACCCTGGGAAAGTCTCACGGTAACACCAGTGGCTTTGGGATTGGAAGTGTCAGCACATATTTTCCAGGGCCCATCTTGTCTGAGACTCAGCGGTCTCTCCTCTATTATTTTTAAAGTTCCATTTTTTATAAATACAATGTTCTCAAATATTTTCATAGTCAAGCAGGAGCATGCATTTTTTCTCCCAGCCCTGCACATACTCAGTCAGGCCTCCCTGATGGTGGAACTGGTTTCAGTTCTCAGGTGATGATTCTGACATTTATCTCAATGCTTATAAAGCTGTTTCTTTGTTTTTTGCTTGTTATTTCAAATGAGGTGTAAGGCATATAATAAATTACACAAAAGTTATACATGAATCTCAGTGAAATTTTATA